TTCTCTTCTCTTCTCTTCTCTTCTCTTCTCTTCTCTTCTCTTCTCTTGATACACAGAAGTTCTTAGGAAGCACAGGTTCACTTAGAGCCCATTCAAAGTTACAACGGCACTGAAAAAAGTGACTTATGCCCATTTTTCACACTTATGACCATTGCAGCATCCCCATGGTCACATGATTTACATTTGGATACTTGACAACTGACTCACATTTATGACGGTTGCAGTATCTTGGGGTCATGTGATCCCCATTTGCAACCTTCGGACAGGCAGAAATCAAGGGGGAAACCAGATTCACTTAACAACCGTTTTACTAGTTTAACCACTGCCGTGATTCACTTAACAAATGCAGCCAAAAAAAGTCGTACAATGGGGCAAAACTCACTTTAACACATTTCTCACTTAGCAACATAAACTTTGGGCTCAGTTGTGTCGTAAGTCGAAGGCTACCTGTATTGAGGGATTCTGCTTACCTGCTAATACATGACCTTTTAGGTTCCCCTTCTTCAAATCAGCACCCTGAAAAAGAGACAAATTAAGTAAAATGGAACAAGCTCTTTCCCAAGATTTCATAAAAGTACATTTATGTACATTGAGACTTTGTTTTAGAAGAATAGCAATAGGCAGGCAGAAAAAGGGAAACAGGGTACGGATGGGATTCACATTTTTAACAACCGGTTCTGTGGGCGTGGCTTAGGTGGTGGGCATGGCTTGGTGGTCATGTGACTGGGTGGGTGTGGCCAACTCAATATCACTCACATCGAGGCATGCATCTCCTCGCCTGGCCTCTCATGACTGTCATAACAGTCGTAAGTTTGAAAAATGGTCATAAGTCCCTTTTTTTCAGTGCCATTGTAACTTTTAATGGCCATTCCACACAAGCAAAGTACCAGCAAAGGAGGGGGAAAAAACTCCAGAGACATTCCTGAGACAGGAAGTCTAGTCCTGCCAAGAATGTAATAAGGGTTAACGGAGAGGCAGTTTCTGTAAGCAACACCAGAATGTTTCCTTCCTGCCTTCCTTACAGGATTAGCCCAGTGATTTCTTCTCACAACCAGTTCTAGTAAATAGGTGCAAACTGATAGAATCCCACCCCTGAAACAGGGTTGGGATTCACCACTGCTACCTGAAACAAACCATTCGCTACCATAGCAAATTCACACCTGAGGCAAAGTCCTGATCTCTTGACACGCCACATGTAAAAACCATTAAAACTAGGAATCCTGACTCTTGAAATAACACTCTTTAAACTGTCATTAATCCTAGCACTTTTGGACAGCACTAGGACAACTATGCTTTTAGTTGTCTGTGCAACTAAGGTGCTTTTTTTCTTTTGATGAAGTCCATATTTGTGTCAAAAATAAAACAAGTTTGAACATGAAAAACACACTAAAGTATGGAAGAAAGAATTGGAATATCAGATAATGAAACTCTGCGGTTGCACCTGCCCTCTGGAATACCTCCCACCAACCTGTGAGGTTGGTCCCAACTAGAGGTGGGATTCAATTGTTTTTACTACTGGTTCTGTGGGCATGGCTTGGTGGACGTGGCAGGGGAAGGATACTGTAAAATCTCCATTTCCTCCCTACTCCTGGGGGAAGGTTACTGCAAAATCCACGTTCCCTCCCCACCCCACTAACCTGCTTTCCAGCTCCATTCTCCTGTGCAGAGCAACCAAAGAAGACCCAGCCGATCAGCTGGGACTCAGGAGGCAGAGAAGAGATGGGGGCGGGGCCAGTCAGAGGTGGGATTTGCCGGTTCTCCGAACTATTCAAAATTTCTGCTACCTGTTCTCCAGAACTGGTCAGAACCTGCTGAATACCACTTCTGGTCCTAACTCTCCGGACCTTTCCTATGAGTCTAAAAACCTGGTTATTCCAGTTAGCTTGGAGCCCTGGTGAGAGAACATCACATGGAGGTGATTGATCGATTAACAACAGACCACACCTCTCCACCCTCCTGCCTCCACCCTTCCTATTTATAATTGGGTTATACTGCTTTGCATCAATATGTTTTTAATAGATATGTATATATTTATCTTTTTACTTGTAAGCTGTCTAGAATTACCCTATGCTAAGACGAGCGGCCAATACATTTTACAAATGAATGAACAAAAATAAATATGGAAGTGTAGAGATCAGGAAATGTAATGACTGCAATGTGGCCTCAATGCTAAAGGGGTGTCCTGGGATTGGAGAAACTCAGGTTGAAAGGCTTTAATGGCATATAACTCAAGGTTAACCGCACCAAGCTTGATTGCAGGAAATACGACTTCAGCAACAGAGTGGTCAATGTCTGGAATACTCTACCCGACTCTATAGTTTCTTCGCCAAACCCCAAAAACTTTAACCTTAGACTGTCTACTATTGACCTCACCCCTTTCCTAAGAGGTCTGTAGGGGGCGTGCATAAGCGCACCAATGTGCCTACCATCCCTGTCCTATTGTTTCTTTTATTTTTCTTATATGTACCCATTTCATGTATTCATAACTATGTATACACTTATACTTATTATCTTGTAAACAATTGACAAATAAATAAAATAAAATAAATAAATATGGAGCTAGTGAGGATGAGCTCAACATACTTCACAATTGGTCTTCCATGCATGAAATTATGGGTAGCTCTATCCTTTTGCACCATTCTGAACTCCCAGAAACAAGGCAGGTGTCAACTCATAAAACATTCCTATGCCCGTTTTAGTAGTTGCCATAAAAAAGAGGGGGGAGGAAAACTGGAAGAGCCGTTGAAAGCGATAGTACATTCCAACTCTTATCTTGAAAAGATTGCAACTAAAATACCAGAGTTTTTGCCCGCGAATCTATTTAATTGGAGAAGGTGAATGATGAAACCCAGCTCAGTGAAGTGCTCAGTTGGAGAATCTGATTTATGACACACCCGGGAGGGGGAGGGGGGGAAACAGGGTCACAGGGGACTGTAAATGATGTATGCCAGAGTTGGTTGCATGCAGGGCAGTGCCAGTGTGTCGCCTCTAATGAATCCTTTGCAGTTTTTTTGAAATTTGGCTCGAGAATCATGATTTAATTAGAGCGATTGGTGGAATCCTGACAGCAGGATTGATATGAAACAAATGACTTATTTCACCACTGGGGCTAATGGAGGCTGTTCAACTATACAACAGGAATCTTACTTTGTCCTTATCAACTTAAGTACGATTTATAACAAATTCCCATTCTGAGAGATTTAAATTTTCCTTTTCCATGATCTTGTTAGGGGAAACAAATGCTGTGATGTTTTTTGGCCTGGCGAAAGTTTTCCCAAGTTTGCTTAACTTCACTTAACTTGCTTCCACCCCACCCCGCCGTCCTCCCCTCTACCACCACTCTAAAATGACACTTTGCTTTGTGCCTAATTCTGCTGGTGGGAGCTACGGTTTGCTTGCTAGTTTATATTTAAAGTGTCATGGCTTTATAGACGACAGCACAGCCCCCTGTGGAATTCTCCCGAACCCGAGGCTGTGTTGTTACCATGTCACAGGAGGAGTGACAGACTGATAGCACTGGACCAGTTCTCTGGGCTCCAGGTTGCTAGAAAGGCTGCAAATGCTTTCGTTCCGACCTGTAAGGCCATTATATGCGCAGGAATCCAGGCAGCAGTTAATTATTGTCTTTGCCATGGCAAAAAGGTCACTGTTTTGTTTTTGTTTTTTTTTAAAAAAACAAGTAAGCTGGTACACCAGATAGGAGGTAAAGTATGAGGAAAGAAAAGGGAATTATACAATGCACATATTTTTCAGCTGTATCCCTGTGAGGTATTCGTGGAAAACATTTCAGTTCTGTCAAAGACCGTTTAGGCATTTTTAATACAAGATGCTGAAAAGTGCATTTAACTTCTTCTTGTGGTTTCTTGCCCCACCCCCACACCCGTTATACGCAAATGCCCTTATTGGAGAAATGATTTAAAAGTTATCCAATGGACTATAAAGCCAAATTAATCTTGATTTGAATAGAGGTTAATTTAACGGTAAAAAGCACTTTGCGGATCTGTTTTCAGAATTTACAGGCTTGAATTTAATCGCAATTCCAACAGTGATATGCATTTGATTTAAGTGTTTTGAAAATAAATTATATTGTAATCGAGATAATGGTTTATATGTGGCACACAATCATCATTTGAAACTTTTACAAACAAAAAGGTAGGAACAATGAACTGCCACCTATTTATTACTGTATTATCACGAAACCTACTACAGCCCAACAGGAAAGATTAATGAGAGGATGTAGACTTGTCTTGATCTTCTGGAGGGTTGCAGAAGGATATCTAGTGATGCTTGAAAGGGGCAGGGGTGACTTTTTAAAGTCATATTTTAATTTTTGGAGGGGGGATTAAAACGGGAATTGGGTACAGAAGCTTCTAAGTGGTAAACTGATCCCAGGTTAACCTTACTAACTTCCTAATCTTCTCAACGTATCCTGAAATCATGCCATCAGAATTCAGCTGGCTAAATTTCAGAGGCATATCTGGGACTCTTTCCTTTCTACAAAAGAAAAAAAGCAGATATGCTGTGGCAGAGAATGTGAATTACACCTCCACACACTATGTCAGTATATACCCTTCTCAGCTCAGTTACGAGACCAAATAAAATGGTTAAACATAGGGTTATATTTCATATATTACCTTGATTTCCTCTAATTATTATTCATTCAATAAAGTTATTCTCAGTTCCGGAAGAAGGTAACTCTTTCTCTTCCTCTTGCTCCTCCTCCTCTTATTCTAGTTCTAATTCCATCACATCTTTAGGATGGTTCCTCTGCTTCCAAGAAGGTGTTTGTCGTATGAACACTTATGATGGTATTTTTTTCCCCAGCCTAATCATACATTAGTTGCAAGGAGAACAATGAGGGTGAGGGGGTAATGAACCATGTATATTGGTTGAATGACCATTAAAAAGGCAGAAAATGTAAAGTTAATACTGATTGCACAAGTCAACCCAGCCATGAAGATTTATATAATCTACTTTTAGCAGCAGAATAAAATCATGACATTGAAGGCACACCGAACTGGTGTGTTCAGTGATGTAAACAAATTAAACCATCCACAATAGAGAGCTGTCCAGTTTCTGCTTGCATGTAATGTTATAAAGGAATGAGGGATATTTAAGTTGCTTACCACAGTATATACATCCTGATATTCAGTTTCTGACTGAAAGCCTGTGGTCACTTTGAATTAAACATGAGTGCAAAGCATTATTCCATTAATGTACAGTGGCAAATTCCCAGTTGATTTGAGCAGTTATGGATTCTTTGTTAAGTGACAGTGCATTCTTATGTAGGGCTAGAAATACCTTAAGCACTTAAGTATTTGCCGCATTCTTTGAGGACTGTCAGTGCTTTTTCAGTTCTATACAAGGCTGCTATCTAAAAAGCTCATGTTAGCCTGTAGCTTTGTAAATACTCTTCACAGCAGTTTACAATGAAATGGATGCAATTTTTTTTTAGACCCGATATATTATCTTTGCACTTTATCTTAATTGCACAATTTTAGCAGTCATCAACATTT